GAAGCTAGTCCACCCTCAATTCCTACATAATATATTAAAACATATAACAAGCAATATTGTAATATTACATGCAACTATCTACCCTAATTTCTTCAGTGCATACTACATGCTACTATATCCTAACATACAATGGATACATACTAGAGTATACAGTATATTGAGATGAACTCACTTGGACAATTTTTCAAGGGATAAATAGTTAATGGAACAATTCGAGTAACGAGCAACACTCCAACGATAATTAACCTGTATTACTATAGTTTATTAGCTACTATGGAATCTGTTATGTAGGTTAGACCTATCACTAATCCCAAGGAATAGTGATAGTTCTATGAAATACGGATCAGTCGGGCCAGACAGTTGGGAGGCAGGACCATTTCGGCCTATATCCTTTATGAAATCCAACAACGAAACCAACTTGACCATTCTAGACCCCTCTCTCGTAAGTAGATTAATTAGTATTATGACTTGGAATTACTGATAAATCTTATTTATAGGTCCATAATAACCACTTATGACTATAAATATAAGCTACACCAAAAAATAGAGTTTAGCTTAACTTAAAGATATTTTTCCTAATCTAAGCTCGAGAATCGCACTCGTAGGGATCCTACTTGATCACTACTACTTAGCTGAATAACTCCCGGGTCGTAGAGCTTCACCAGAACACATACCTAAAGAAAATCAGATAAAAGTGTAGAGATCTTAGAGAGAAAAGGTTGTAGGGGCACGGGGGATACGGAGGAGAGTATTTATAGGTAAGAAAATCCAAAAGCACGCCATGCATAAGGGGCTACGTGCCATGCCTTAGGTTGTTGTTGGATGCTTTAAGCTTCTGCCTCGTGTCACTATATCGGTGTTCCATATGCCCCTCTTCTAGAAGGTGCCACGTGTCATAATCTTGTGGAGCCACATCACTATCTATCAGAAGAAAGGGCCTGCCCCAACAATGCTATGTGGCACTTTCTTGTTGTTCCATGTGATTGCGCGTGCTGCGCACTTCGTGCGCACAATATTTTGATGTTGAAAATGGCATAAGTTCTTCATTTGGGGTCCGTTTTCGATGTTCTTTATATATTTGGAAAGCTCTCAACGAGATCTACAACTTTTCTTAAGATCCCAACAACTAATTCTAAATCTATCAAAAATTTATATTTTTAGTGGCTTACGATGTTAGAGATCGTTGTAGAAAACATAACTCCTAAATATAGACTCCGTTCTTGATGTTTTCAATATCGATAGACTGCTATTGACGAGATCTTAAATTCTCATTTAGATAGTTTCAGCTAACAATCAACCAATTAGAATTTCTATTTCTATGCGAGCATTGTTGCGCTAAAACTTTGATAAATCATAACTTCCTATTACAAAGTCAAATTTTTACATTTTCTATATGCACACTCTCAGTCTAAAAACTACTATGACTTTCAAAAAGTAATTTATCAAAAGTTCACTTTTTCCTGTATGCAGAGCTGTGTTGGTTTAATCATGAACCGTCAAAGTCGGATTCGAGCGTTCTATATATCTATGAAAATCATATTGACGTTTTCTACCTAGTTATGCAAAGTAACATATTTACTTTGCATTTATAATAATCACTTAATATTCTAATCGATGGAAATGATAAAATGGGGAGTTTCAACTCTCCCACACTTACAAGGATTTCTTCCCCAAATTCTAAATAAATAACTCTAGGTTGTTGCTCTTCATCTCCTCTATTGGTTCCCAAGTCCATTATGATCATTTTATGTGCTGTAACAAGACTTTCACTAGACTGGTCACCTTATTGCGTAAGGTTTTTGTCTTCTTATATTGGATTGCTAGTGGTTTCTCTACATAATTCAAATGCTTGTCTACTTGAATGTCTTCTACTGATATTAAGGATCTTACTAAGTTCTTCTGTCAGATCCAGATGGTAGGCAACCTTGCCTACTCGAGTAATGAGTCGAAAGGGATTGATAAACCTAGGTCCTAATTTGCCATTCTTCCGGAACCTAATGACACCTTTCCATGGCAAAACCTTAAGTAATACTAGGTCTCTTACATGGAAATCAAGATTCGACCTTCCCATGACTCGTTGGCCAACTTCTCCCCATCATATGTGTGTCCAATACTTTCTCAAATAAAAGATTTCGAAGGGAGTTCTACCAATACTAGAATGATACTTGTTGTTGTATGAGAATTATTCTAATAGTAGATAAGTATCCCAACTTCCATCGAAATCTAACACACATGCTTGAAGCATGTCTTTAAGGGTTTGTATTGTCATGTTGCTCTCCCCATCGGTTTGAGGGTGATAAGCTTTGCTGATATGCAATCGTGTACCTAGATCATCATAGAACTTCCTCCAGAACTGAGATGTGAAACGAACGTCTCTATAAGATATTATCGAGACTGGTACCCTATGTCGAGATACTATTTCCTTGATGTATATCTCTGCAAGCTTCTAAGCCGAGGAGCTTTCTTGGATAGGCATGAAGTAAGTACACCAGGTTAATTTATCCACTATCACCTACATAGTGTCTACTCTACGAGGAGTCATTAGAAAATTGGTGATAAAGCCCATTGTTATATGCTCTGACTTCCATATTGGGATATCAATAGGTTGTAATTTTCTATGCAACATTTGGTGTTCAACTTTGACCTTCTGACCAGTCAAACTCATCTCGACGAACGATGCTACATCTATTTTCATACAGGGCCACCAATAACTATGTCTGAGGTCCCTATACATCTTTGTATCTCTAGGATGAATTGAGAACTTGGACTTGAGCACCTCACCCGTTGGTACTTTTCGAGTTCCTCCTGATTATGGAACCCAAACCCTACGATGTAGAGTTAACAACCCACGACTATCTATGGTAAAACCTGAGACCTGCCGTACAATTCTCTTGCTTTTTTGGTTCTTTTCCTTGAATGCTTCGCTCTAAGCTTGCTTGATTATCTCAAGAACTAGAGTGATCACTGTCATCTTTTAGCAGATGTTGTCAACCCATGGCTTGTCCAAGTTGATTTTCTCAAGTACTGGTTGTCTTAGGACTTAATGGATCAACTACTACATTAGCCTTACTTGGGTGGTAAAGGATTTCGCAGTCGTAGTCTTTCACTACATCCAACTGTCGACGCTGTCACATGTTCGGGTTGGGATGATCCATTAGGTCCCTCAAGCTTTTTGGCCCGTCTAGATAGTACATCACACTTCATATAAGTAATGCCTCCAAATCTTGAGAGCAAAGCCAACGACTCCCAACTCTAGATCGTATATCGGGTAATTAGCCTCGTGAGGCTTCAACTATCATGAGGCATATGCGATTACTCGATCTCGCTACATGAAGACAACTCCAAAAACCATGATTGATACATCACAGTAAACCACCATGTCATCAACAACTTCTGGAATGGTTAACTAGAGTTTCACATAACTTTTGCTTTAATGTTTGAAATTCCTATTGCTGCCCGGGAACCCTGTGAAAAGTAACTCATTTCTTCCTTAAACGGGTCATAGGTATCGCAATATTTGAAAAGTCTTGAATAAACATTTGGTAGTATCGCTCTAGCCCTAGAAAGCGTTGAATTTCTGAGGGAGTAGTCGTTTCCGGCCATCACATTACTGCATCTATTTTGGCTGGATCTAGTAGAATACCATCCTAGTTAACAATATTCCCAAGGAATTTGACCTCTCGTAACCGGAACTGACATTTAGATAACTTTGCATACAACTTCTCATTCCTTTGAACCTCGAGTACTTTTCTTAGGTGTTCTTTATGCTGTTCTTGGGTCTTTGAAAAAACCAAAATATCGTCAATAAACACAATTACCGATTGATCAAGCATATGTCTACATACTCGGTTCATCAATGTCTACCGGTTGATGTCCACAAACATATTTAACTTTAGACTTAATGCACGATATTTCTACAATTATAAATGTCAATTCTAATAATAAAGATTGTTTTATATAAATTATTATTCGTACATAACCTTATATACAAATAAAATCATTAATATGTGTACATGCTTGTTTATGTAGTGAAGGAGTTGGTTCATGAAAATACCTAAATCTATGCATGTATGTATATGTATGTACAAGTCATGTATGGACCTTAAAGATCATATGATAAAGAGTATAACAAAATATGGGTAACAAAACATGATTTTTTCAATATATATACATAAAAATTTCCTTCTTTCACTTTCCACTTTGTTCCAACATTAAAGTACACCATACTACTTTATGCACATTACGCACATTACCCACATGGGAGCTAAGCTAAAGTTAACCCCTAGGGCTCTACTCTCCTTCCCACACACGAATTCTACCCTATAATTTGTAATAAATCATATAAGATGCACAAATATATTTGTAGTACATTGGATGGAAGAGGTGACTTTGCTTCCAAAGATGGCTTAAAGTTCTTAACATTGTCCTTGAGAGTACAAACATCATTAAAAGAGCTTGCCAACACTCTTCCTTCCTCATAAAAATCGTGTACTACCTTGCCCTCTTCAAGAAACCTCAATTAAACCATCCATAAAGCAAGTCAAGTACTATTAGTCTATATAAAGCAAAGATTTTTCCTCATTTCTGGCCAAACATTTCCTCCGAAAGCATTACTATCCATTTACATTTTTCTGTGTTCGAGTTCCATCAAGAGCACCTCCATCGGAGTTGTTTCTGCTGTGATTTCCGAGAAGCAAAAAGGGGAGCAGGCACTGGGTTTAATCACCTGTTGTAGCTGGTTAAAGCACCAAATACCCCCTATAGTGGTTTGTTTTTATGCCCACCTATCCCTCTTGCTAGCAGCTACTGAAATATTAGGAATAAGAGGCAAAGAGGCTGCCAAAACAGCCCCTGCCACCCCCTTGCTGCCGAAAACCACCAAAACTGTGGTGGTGCTTCGATTTCTCACCCTTTCGGTCCAAGAGCATCCCCATAATCTTCATTTCAGTGAAAAAGAATAGTTTCTAGGTCTCCTTCAAAGAGTTTTTGAAGTGTTGAGACGAGAGCTTTCCGGGAAGTCAAACAAAACCGAGTCGGAACATGCTTCAAATGTGAGTCTTTATGATCCCTTTATACATTTTCAGTCACTTTGGGGGGAGATACATACTTAAATTACAATGATAAATGTTGATGTTAAAGGGTTCATAATATGAATATATGTGTAGTTACTGCCACATGTTACATATCACAATGGTTATTATGTCACAAATAACTGTCACAATTATACGGATATGTTAAAAACCATATATTTAGTATCTGTTAGGTTGATGATAAGCCTTATATGTCATAAGATATTAATATAAGACTTGTAAAACAAATTTTATTATTTTAAAAAGAGTGTATTTTCTCTTTGTAACCAGGTATAAAATGATGCATTTTAATTAATCACATACATTATAACATACCAAAAGCGATTAAGCATTTAGTGAGTAAAATGACAATTTGACATATTATTTAGAATTAGTCGTGAAATAATCAAATAAAAGTGTACACTAATTGTATAAGCTAATATTTTGGTTAAGAAAGCAACTCACAAGTATATTACTATAGTGTAATGCGAATTCCTGTCGTCAAAATCATTTGTATATACTTCTATGTTTAAGGTTCCTTCCGAATGATAATAATATAATTTTGACATAAATAAAGTTAAAATATAACAAAAATGTGTTAGTCTGATTAATGGTCAATAACCGCATTACCGGTTTATTTTAGTTAATCGACAACGTGAATGGAATGATCTCATGATCGATTGAAATATGAAACTATTCAAAATACAATCGTCACACTATTCAAGCGCTAAATTAAGTTCATTATTTAACTATATTCACTAAGTCCAAAAAATCTTAATAATCTAATATCCTGGTTAGTGATCATAGTAAACAACGGATTGGTGGACAGATAAAAAGTTTGTCATGGAGATTGAGGGTTAGATCACGTGTGTGTGTGAAAATTAATGAAAGGAGTGAAAGAGAGAGTTTTATGTTGGGGTGTTTTTCTTTCCTTAGGATCAAAATCCTAGAACCAATCTTTTGTGATATACCTGTTAATCCAAGAGGGGTTTTATACTTGAAATCTGAGCAGACGATAAAGATTTATAATAAAGGACTTTGGTGTAGATCTATTAGGTATGGAAATATTTATGCGGGTCGATATTCCCTGTGTGTAGTTGCTAGCTAAAACTTCGTTTGATGAGACAGTAGGCGTAAGTGTTTCTTTCTTTGTTACTATACAATTGTGTTGAAATTTTAGTAATGTTCCTGATTCCTCATTTATTTATGCCTTTACAGGCCGGAACATCTTTAGTGTCGGTTATAGGCTGACTTTAGAACGGAGTGACATATTTTGGAGAAATATAAGACTAGAGTGAGATTACCTTCCAAATTTTGGCTGAATGTCTAAGATTGTTTCATTTGCTAACTAAGTGTTTATTAAGGCATAAATTTTTGTAAGCGAATATAGCCCAGACAATAAATTTTGTAGGAAAAAGTAAACCTAGTCATTGAAAATGCTTAGAGTCAAAAGAAAACTTATAAAACGCACTAACATTATTATTGACGCATTTTCGAAATGTATGTATCTTTAGGTATTCAAAGTGTCCAGAAGAACACTCAACCGGTGTGAGAATGAAGGAGTTGATTTCGGAAATAAATAGTCGGCTCTGTTGTAGCCTTTTGTCTCTTTTATGTCATGCAGGAACTTGTATTCCTCGTATAAGGTTTATAGGTTTATTTAATAGTGTATTTCTTCACATTCAAATTCTAGATGAATGTAATGTTATATAAATCCTTGTATTATTTCAATATATGTTATTTACTATGATCTAATGTGTTTAGTGTCAACCCAACATTTCCGTCGTTGGTCGGGGTGTGACAGAATGGAATATGAGCTAATGAATATAGCAAATATTAGTAATGATAATGATTCCTCCTTTAATTATGCCCTCCAAATTTGGGCTTTCATTTGCCAACTAAATGTTTATTATCACATAAGTTTTTTTAAGCGTATATAGCCCAATCATTAAATTTTGTAGGAACAACTAACCTAGTCGTTGAAATCGCATGAGTAGTAAAAACACTTTATTATAACTTACCGATTGTTAAAAAGTATTTCGATTTATTGAAAATGCTCGGAGTCAAAAGAAAACCTATAAATCTCACAAACATTATTGTTGGCGTATTTTCAATATATATGTATCTCTAGGTATTCAAAGTGGTCGGAAGAACACTCACCAGATGTGAGAATGGGGGAGTTGATTTCGGAAATAAATAGTCGACTCTGCAGTAGCCTTTGGTCTATATTCTGTTATGCAAGAACTTGCATTCCATATATAACGCTTATGGGTTTATTTAATAGTGTATTTCTTCACGTTCAAATTCTGGTAGAATGTAATGTTATATAAATCTTGGTATTATTTCAATATATGTTGTTTATTGTGATCCAATGTGTTTAGTCTCAACCCCAACGTTTCCAACGGTGGTCAGGGTGTGATAGAATGATATCAGAGCTAACGACTATAGAAAATTAGTACTTTCCTTATGAGAGCACAACTATATTATAAGGGCTTAGTCTAATAGGTATAAGCATTCCTAAACCTATATCATCTTACTAATGGAGTTACCCTTATAAGTCTACTATGTAGTACGCAGAGGTTCTCCCCTTAGATCTACGATTCTATAATCAGGATTATTCCTATAACTACGAGTAATAAGTATAAAGTAATAACATATAAACAAATTAAAATTTTAAAAGAAATGTAATAATACAAGAGTTTAAAAGTTAAATGACCAATTAGGTTCTCTAGTATATAGGCCGTACCACAGCTGAACCCAGTTACGCACCTAAGTTGTATTATGGTAAGATTCTATGCACTATTGAAACTAAGTGAATTAGTTGGTTTGTTTAAATGATTGGAAAAATGTAAATAAAATGAAAATTGACTCATAAATGGTAAAAACTGTGAAAGTTGTGTGTAATATATCATTATAGGTAGACAAAAATAATAATAATAAATAAATAAATACTAACGTAAGTTAAATTTATTTATCGGAGGAATCACCAACAGTGGGGTGAGAACGAGCAAGAGGTGGACTTGCCTTACCACCTTCTACGGGATCCCTATTTCCTTGCTCTATAGGATGACGGGGTGCCGATACTAATTGAGGATAGCGAGCCTGAGGAGGATCTTAGCAAGGATCCAGAGGAGATGGAACAGGAGCCTAAGGAGGACCCTAGCGAGGATCCAGGGGATATTAAATAGGAGCTTGATGAAGAAATAGAATCTAAAGCATACGAGTCTATAGGTGATGTGACCCCTATAGAATAAGAAGAACCTATTGCATCACCACCACTTGTCTCTTACAACCTGGGCTCAGGGATACCTCATGGTAGGAAACATACACAAAAGACCATTCCGACGTTTGGAAGTGTTAAGAAGAAGCTTATAAGGCAAATTCTTGGTTTTCAAAAGATCACGCGGAACTTTCAACCATACCACACTGCCCTTGTCGAGCCTACACATAACCTTTAGCCTGGAGCCTCCTATGAAACTCAAAAAAGGACGATCCATGATCCCACTTGGATAACTAATGTAGTGAATGAATGGGTCAAAGATCAAGGATGAACCCATCAATTTGAGGTAGGGCGATGTTCAGGAACAAAACCCCCCAAACACCACTGAGGAGGAAATGTTGTCACTCATGTTTGACCGTACCATGAAACTTGGCTACAAGGCCGATTCCATGGGTAAGGAGATGCGTACTATCAGAGTTAACGATGTTGTACAGGCCAGGAAGATAGATGAGATGAGAGCTCAGAGGGGACGGGACCATGAGGACATGAAGAGGGGTCGAGGCAGAGTTTAGTTTATGTATGACCTTATGATCACTGAGGAGATTTGTAGGCTGCAAACTGAGGGACAGATCCATCCTGATGTAGAAAGAGATGTCGACGTGAACATTAGAGCTAGAGAGCGATGGAATGACTAGGGACTGTGGAGGAACAAATCCAAGGATCTTGGATGCCCTGTCACGCAACTTTGATTTGGGCAAGTCATGGGTGATTGCCAATTTTGGAATAAAAAAAATCAAATATGTAATATGACAATGGGTCGCTTAGTGACCCTCGAATAATATGAATTATGATGTAAGGGTAAGGGATAGGAGGAACTCATTAAAGTCATGCAAATTTTCATGTGATTGACTTATTGTAAACATGCTAAAGTTGTCATCCTTAGCATGTAGTTATTTTCTTGTAATGCATATGAATATAATCCCTAAAACGATTATGTGAATATAATGAAGCATATATTATTATTATACATTTTGATGTGATGATTATTGTGTCAATTTTTTTGATTCTATTCCAAAACAATTGAAACCCATTGTAAATAATTGAAAACATGGACGATGAAACGCTTTCAATTGAAATTATCAAATATATCAACACCATTCCATCAAGAAAGAAGAGGGAACGATTGAAAAAGCGAACCCAATATAAAAGGTTGGAACCAACGGTTCCACCCACGAAATCTTGACCCAAGAGAGGCCAAACCAGCTCGAGGCTAACAGTAATTTCGGTTGTGGATACACCAATTGTTGGTACACCAACCCCTAAGACGGGACTCCCTCAAACGACGACGAAACTTGAGCAACTAATTTCAGACTGCCTTAAAATTGCCATGGGAAACTCAAGCAGCACAAATGAAAGAACACCAATCATAGAAGTTTAAGGAATCAAGACTAGGCTAAGAAGTAGTTCGAATATTAACCCTAATGAAACTCAAAGGGTCTGCACCTACAATGACTTCATGAACTGCAAACCCAAGTACTTATATGGAAATGAAGGCGTGATTGGTATCACCAGGTTGTTCGAAAGGATAGAGTCTGAATTTCAGACCAGTTACTACGCTAAAGACAACAAAGTGGGCTTCACTGCCTGCACTTTCATGGATACAACATTGACTAGGTGGAATGACCAAGTTAAGTCAGTACGCATCATCCCTGCCAACTCTTTGACTTGGGCAGAACTGAAGATCATGTTGATAGAAGACTATTATCCTAGAGAAGATGTTCAGAATCTAGAGAACGAGCCATGGAACCTAAACATAAGAGGTTTAGACATTAAATTTTGCACGAATAGGGTTAACGACCTTGCTTTTTGTACCCATCACAAGTAACCCTAGAGCATGTGAAGGTCAAACGCTATATATGGGGATTATCTCCTATGATCAAGGGTATGGTCACGTATTCAAGACCTACAACCTTTGAAAGCGTTAAGAGTATGACTAGATGATTGAATACAATAAGGCCAGTCAGGGAAACATGGATGCTAGAGTTGCAACCCGAAACTCTGAAACACACAAGAAAAGGAAGTTATCCGAAGGAAAGTCAATTCTAGGCAAGAAACAAGAACAGAAGGTGTATGCGACAACTGAAACAGTAACAACAATAATTGTACCACAAAATAACGACACAGGCAAATACCTAAGGTGTAACATCTATAGTAGAAAACACCTTTAAGAAGGTTACAATTACACCCGATGCAACGGGAAGGGGCATACTATAAACTTTTGTAGGAACGTTACGGACGCTGGAGGAAATCAGAATTTTGGAACTGGAGCTAGCAATAGAGGGGAAAGAGTATGTTACGAGTGTGAGGAGTAATGTTAATTCATACGAAACTAACCAATATTGAAGAACACATGAGGAAATTATCGTAGGAGAGCATCTGTGATAAGGAACAAGAATGCTATTCAGGATACGTCTGTGGTAATTATTATGCTCCTTATTAACAACTTGTATGATATGATATTATTTGACTTTGGTGCCGATAAAAGTTTTATAACACGGTCCTTTCAACAACTTTTAACTCATGAGTCTATTAAATTAGATGTAGCATACGAGTGAGGGTAGCAAACGACCATGTAAAAAATACTACTAAAATCCTAAGAAATTGTTTGTTAACCTTAAACAACCATACTTTTTACATCGTAGGTAGGTTTACCAATACTGGAATTATGGTTATTGTTGTATGAGAATTCTTCTAACGATAGGCGAGTATCTCAACTTCCACCAAAATCTAGTACACATGCTTAAAGCATGTCTTTAAGGGTTTGTATTGTTCTTTTTCTCTGCCCATCAGTTTGAGAGTAATGAGTTATGCTGATATGCAACCGTGTACCTAGCTCATCATGGAACTTCCTCCAGGACCAAGACATGAAACGAACATCTCTATTAGAGATTACCAAGACTGGTGCCCCATGTCGAGAGAATATTTCCTTGATATATATCTCTACAAGCTTCTAAGCCGAGGAGCTTTCTTGGATAAGCATGAAGTGGGCACACCAGGTTAATTTATCCACTATCACCTACATAGTGTCTACTTTACAAGGAGTCTTTAGCAAATTGGTGATAAAGTCAATTGTTATATGCTCCGACTTCCATATTTGGATATTAATAGTTATAATTTTCTATGCAACATTTGGTGTTCAAACATGACCTTTCGACAAGTCAAACTCCTCTCGACGTACCATGTTACATCTCTTTTCATACAGGGCCACCAATAACTATGTCTGAGGTCCCTGTACATCTTTGTATCTCCTAGATGAATTGAGAACTTGGAATTGAGGAGCTCATCTGTTGGTACTTGTCGAGATCCTCCTGAGTATGGAACCCAAACCCTGCTATGTAGAGTTAAAAACACACGACTATCTATGGTAAAAGTTGAGACCTTCCCTACAATTCTCTTGCTTTTTTGGTTCTTTTCCTTGACTGCTTCGCTCTAAGCTTGCTTGATTATCTCAAGAACTAGAGTGATCACTGTCATCTTTAAGCAGATGTTGTTAACCCATGGCTTGTCCAAGTTGATTTTCTCACATACTTGTTTTCTTAGGACTTAATGCAAGAGCTACTACATTGACCTTACTTGGGTGGTAAAGGATTTCACCGTTGTAGTCTTTCACTACATCCGACCATCGATGTTGTCGCATGTTCAGGTTAGGATGATCCATTACGTCTCTTAAGCTTTTGTCGTCCGTGTAGATAGTACATCACACTTCATATAAGTAATGCCTCCAAATCTTGAGAGCAAAGCCCACTGCTCCCAACTCTTAGATTGTATGTTGGTTAATTAGCCTTGTGGGGCTTTAACTATCTTGAGGTATATGTGATTACTCGATCTTGCTGCATGAAGATGACTCCAAAACCAATGATTAATGCATCATAGTACACCACCATGTCATCAACACCTTCTGGAACGGTTAACTAGAGTTTCACATAACTTTTGATTTAACGTTTCATGTGCCTATTGATGCACGAGAACCTCAAGAAAAGTAACTCATTTCCCCGTTAAACGAGTCATAGGTACCGCAATGTTGGAAAAGTAACTCATTCCTGCATCTATTTTATTTAGATCTAGTAGAATACCATCGTAGTTAACAAGATTCCCAAGGAACCGAATATCTCTAACCAGAACTGACATTTAGAGAACTTTTCATACAACTTCTCTTTCCTTAGAACCTCAAGTACCACTCTCAGGTGTTCTATATGTAGCTCTTGGGTCTTTGAAAATACCAAGATATCATCAATAAACACAATTACCGATCGATCAAGCATATGTCTACATACTCGTTTCATCAATGTCTACCAGTTGATGACCGCAAACATATCTAATGTTAGAACTAATGCACGATATTTCTACTATTATAAATTTAAATTCTAATAATAAAGATTGTTTTATATACATTTTTATTTTTACATAACCTTATATACAAATAAAATCAATAATATTTGGACATGCATGTTTATGTAGTGAAGGAGATGTACTTAAAGTACCTAAATCTATTCATGTATCAGAGAGTCAAGAAGAACCAAAAACTTAACTTACATAGAAGTCTTTATTATTAAGTCAAAAAAATCCTTCGAATAGAACAAATAAAGTCAAAATAATCTTTGATTATGGTTAACGGTGTGAGAAGTCTTCGATTATGATTATGAGTGTGAAGATTAAACTAATTGTGAATAATGTTTACAAATTTTAGTATTAGTCGATTAGGAATTACAACACTAATCAACAATCTAACTCATTGCATGATTGGAATATTGTGTGTGTCTGGACGATCAGCCTTTGATAGTGTGATTGCTCGTTCGTCTACTGATACCTGATGATTAATGGATTGTATTTTGAAATTTTAATGGGTCTTAAATAATAGTTACTATATTATTTTATATATAATTTATAATTTATATATATTAAAATATAAAGTTAACGGTTCGGTTAAACTATAAAACCATAACCGAACCGTTAGTTATCGGTTAACAAAAATTAGAAACCGAACCAACGGTTTTTAAAATTATTCTGTTATTATGGTTCGGTTATATCGGTTAATTTGGTTATGGTTCGGTTTTTCAGTTATTATGCTCACCCCTACTTTAAGCACATCACCAACATGCGAGTTAAGCCAAAGTAAACCCCTAGGATTCTACTCTCCTTCCCATACACAAGTTTACAAATATATTTGTAGTACATATGATTGGATGGAAGAGGTGGCTTTGCTTCCAAAGGTGGCTTAAAGTGCTGAATATTGTCCTTGAGAGTACAATCGTCATTAAAAGAGCTTGCCAACACTATTCCTCCCTCATAAAAGTTGGGTACTACCTTGTCCTCTTCAAGAAACCTTCAATGAACCATTCATAAAGCAAGTCAAGTACTAGTAGTCTATATAAAGCAAAGGTTTTTCCTCATTTGTAGCCAAACATTTCCTAGAAAAGCATTCCTATCCATTTTCATTTTTTTGTGTTCGAATTCCATCAAGAGCACCTCCATCAGAGGTGTTTATTCTGTGATTTCCGAGAAGCAAAAAGGGGAGCAGGCACTGGGCTTAATCACCTGTTGTAGCTGGTTAAAGCACCAAGTACCCCTTATAGTTGTTTGTTTTTCTGCCCACCTATCCTTCTAGCTAGCAGCAACTGAAACAGGAGGAAAAAGAGACAAAGAGGCTTCCAAAACATCCCCTGCCACCCCCTTGCTGCCAAAAACCACCAAAACAGTGGTGGTACGTCGTTTTCTCAAGCTTTCAATCCAAGAGCAGCCCCATAATCATCATTTCATTGAACAAGAATAGTTTTGGGTCTCCTTCCAAGAGTTGGTGAAGTGTTGAGATGATAACTTTTCGGGAAGTCAAACGAAACTGATCAGCCGGAACACGCTTCAAATATGAGTCTTTAATTCCCCTTTTTACGTTTTAAATCACTTTGGGAGGAGGTATATACTTGAAGTATAATGCTAAAAGTTGATGTTAAAGGGTTCATAATATGAATATATGTGTAGTTAGTGTTAGAGGTTACAAATCACAATGGTTGTTATGTCACAAATAACTGTCATATTTATAAGGATATGTTAAAAACCATATGTTTAGTATATGTTAGGTTGATAAGCCTTATATGTCATAAGATATTAATATAAGACTTGTGAAACAAATTTTCTGATTTTAAATAGAGTGTATATTTTCTCTATGAAACCTTGTATAAAATGATGCATTTTAATTAATCACATACATTATAACATACCAAAAGCAATTAAGCATTTAGTGAGTAAAATGACGATTTTTTGACATATTATTTAGCATTAGTTATGAAATAATCAAATAAAAATGTACACTAACTGTATAAGCTTATCTTTTGGTTAAGAAAGCAACTCACAAGTATATACAATAGTGTAATGCAAATTCCTCTCATCAAAGTAATGTGTATATGTTTTTTTATGATTAAGGTTCATTCTGAATGAAAATGTTATAACTTTGACAACAAGAAATTTAAAATATAACAAAAATGAGTTAGCGTCATAAACGGTCAATAACCTCATTACCGGTATATTTGTGTTAATCGACTATGTGAATGGAATAATCTTACGATCAACTGAAATATGAAACTATTCAAAATAAAACCATCACACTATTCAGGAACTAAACTAAATTCGCTATTTAACTATAGTAAACAAAGGATTGGTGGACAGATAAAAAGTTTGTCATGGAGTTTGGGGGTTAGATTATGTGTGTGTGAAAATTTCCGGAAGGGGTGAAAGAGGGAGTTTTATGTGGGGTGTTTTTCGTTCCTTAGAATCAAAATCCTAGAACCAATCCCTAGTTCTATAACTATTAATCTAGGAGGGGTCTTATACTGTTTATCTAAGCACACAACATAGATATAAAATAAAGGATTGTGGTGTAGATATATTATGTATGGAAAGATTTATGAGGGTCGATATTCCCCGTCTTTGGTTGCTAGCTACAATTTCGTTCGACAAGATAATAGGTGTAAAGTGTTTCTTTCTTTGTTACTATACGACTCTTTTGAAACGTTAGTAATGATCCTGATTCCTCCTTTAATTGTGCCTTTACGGGGCCGGAACATCTATATTGTCAATTATCGGCTAACTTTAGAATGGAGAGATGTATGCTAGAGAAATATAAGACAAGAGTAAGATAACCCTCCAAATTTTGGCCGAATGTCTAAGATTGTTTCATTTGTCAACTAAATGTTTATTATGACATAAGTTTTCGTAAGTGGATATAGCCCGATCGTTAAATTTTGTAGGAACAACTAAACCTAGTCATTGAAATAGCATGAGTAGTAAAAACATTTTTTTTATAAGTTACCGGTGGTTAAAAAGTTTTTGATTTATTGAAAATGCTTAGAGTAAAAAATTCATATAAATCTCACCAACATTAGTGTTGACATATTTTCAAAATGTGTATCTTTAGGTATTCAAAGTGGCCCCAAGAACACTCACCTAGTGTGAGAATGAAGGAATAGATTTCGAAAATAAATAGTCGGCTCTTTTGTAGGCTTTTGTCTTTTTTATGTCATGTAAGAACTTGGATTCCATGTATAACGCTTATGGGTTTATTTAGCAGTGTATTTATTTGCATTCGAACTCTGGAATAATGTAATTTTATATAAATCTTAGTATTATTTCAATATATGTTATTTACTGTGATCCAATATGTTTAGTCTCAACCCCAACATATCTACCGTTGGTTGGGGTTTGACAGACTGGTATAATAGCTAACAACTATATCAAATTAGTACTTCCCTTAGGAGAGCACACGTATGGTCTAAGGGTTTACTCTAATAGGTATAACCGTATAAGTATTCCTAAACCTATATCATCTTGCTAATGGACTTACCCCTATAAGTCTACTTTGGAGTACGTGTAGGTTCTTTCCTTAGATCTACAATTCTATAATCGGGAATATTCCTATAAGCTACAAGTAATAAGTATAAATTAATAATATATAAAAAAAATTAAAAATTTTAATAAATAAAATAATACAAGAGTTTAAAAGTAAAATGATCAATTTGGTTATCTAGTACATAAGTCCTACCACAACTGAACCTAGTTAAGCACATAAGTTTTATTATGGTAAGATTCTACACACAATTGAAATTAAGTGAATTAGTTGGTTTGTTTAAATGATTGGAAAAATGTAAATAAAATGAAAATTAACCCATAAATGCTTAAAACTGTGAAAGTTGTGTGTAATATATCTAGAAAAAATAATAAATAAATAAATACTGATGAAAATTAAATTTATTTATAGGAGTAATCGCCAAGAGTGGGATGAGAATGAGTAAGAGGTGGACTCGCCTTACCACCTACCAGGGGATCCCTATTTCCCTGCACAACAGGACGAGGAGGTGGTGATACTAATTGAGGATAGAGAGCCCGAGGAAGACCCTAGCGAGGATCCAGAGGAGATGGAATAGGAGCCTGAGGAAGAAATGGAGTCTGATGCATACGAGTCTGTACGTGATAGGACCCCTATAGAAGAAGAACTTGTTGCATCACCACCACCTGTCTATTACTACTTGGGTTGAAGGATGCCACATAATAGGAAACACACACAAAAGACCATTCCTACATGTGGAAGTGTTAAGAAGAAGCCTAGCATGCGAATTCCCGGTTCTCAGAATCTCTCAGGGAACTTTCACCCGTATCACACTGTCCTTGTTAAGCCTAGACGAGACTCTATGCTTGAAACCTCCCGTGAACCTCAGAAGAGGAGGATTCATGATCCCCCTTGGATAGCTGATGTAGTGAATGAATGGGTTAGAGATCAGAGAGGAACCCATCATTTTGAGGTAGGGCAATGCTCGAGGATAAAACCCCTATCCACCACTAAGAAGGACATGTTGTCACTCATGTTTGACCATACCATGTAGCCTGTCCACAAGGTTGAGTCCATAGGTGACAAGATGCGTACTATCAGAGGAAACAATTCCTTACGACCTAGGAAGATAAAGGTGATAAGAGCTGAAAGGGGATGGGACCACACGGACATAAAGAGGGATCAAGGCAAAATTTAGTTTATGTACGACTTTATGATCACTGAGGAGATTCATAGGTTGGAGACTGAGGGACATATCCATGTAGCTATAGAAAAATCGTCGAGGTGGACGTTGGAGTTAGAGGAGCAATGGAACAACTAAGGACTATGGAGGAACAAATCCAAGCGATCTTGGACACTCTTGTCCTGCAACTTTGGTTTGGGATAGTCTAGGTAGAAGTGAAGGTTGTTTAGTGAAGGCATTTGGGCAAGTCATGGGTTATTGCCAATTTTGGTATAAATTTTTTTGGATATGCAATAGGAAAATGGGTGTCATAGTGACCCCCGAATAATATGAATTCTGATGTAAGGGGAAGGGATAAGAGGAACTCATTGAAGTCTTGCAAAATTTTATGTGATTGACTTGTAAACATGTTAAAGTTGCTATCCCTACCATGTAGTTATTTTGTTGTATCGTAAATAAATGTAAACCCTAGAGCGAGTGTGTGAATAAAATGAAGCATATATTATTATTATTATTATATTTTGTGATGTGATGATTATTGTGTCCATTTGGTTTATTGCTGTAATATCCATAAAAGTTCATGCAAATTTAAAACTTTTTCAAACATTAAAAAACACCATTTAATTACAAAATGTTTTCAAAGTAGTTTCATATTAGAGTATCCCATAAATTAAATCATAAAATGTGAGGAGGTGCATGATCAAGCTTTCGTTCCCACGGTCATCCGAAGTACCTGAAACAAAATCCAACACTGTATGCCCGAAGCTTAGTGAGTTCCCCCAAAATACCCATATACACAACAATACACATATAATCACAAACAACATACTATGGGTCCAATCAACCATCAGGTTGGAATACCTCAAGCCCTGAACCATCAGGTTGGAATGGAAATATGCTATGGGTCCAATCAACCATCAGGTTGGAATACCCCCGTCCCTCAACCATCGGGTTGGAATGCCAACAAACTATAGGTCCAATCAACCATCGGGTTGGAATGAACCATCATGGTTGGAAAGCCAACTCTCCATGCTTGAAACCTCCCGTGAAACTCAGAAGAGAAGGATTCATGATCCTGCTTGGATAGCTGATGTAGTGAATGAATGGGTCAGAGATCAGGGAGGAACCCATCATTTTGAGGTAGGGCAGTGCTTGAGGATAAAAACCCCATCAACCACTAAGGAGGACATGTTGTCACCCATGTTTGGCGATACCATGTAGTCTAGCCACAAGGTTCAGTCCATGGGTGACAAGATGCGTACTATTAGAGGAAACAATTTCCTACGACCCAGGAAGATAGAGGATATAAGAGCTCAAAGGGGATAGGACCACAAGGACATAAAGAGGGATCGAGGCAGAATTTAGTTTATGTACGACTTTATGATCACTGTGGATATTCATAGGTTGGAGACTGAAGGACAGATCCATGTAGCTATAGAAAAGTCGTCGAGGTGGAAGTTGGAGCTAGATGAGCAATGGAACAACTAGGGACTATGGATGAACAATTCCAAGCGATCTTAGACACTCTTGTCCCACAACTTTGGTTTGGGATAGTCTGGGTAGAAGTGCAGGTTGTTTAGTGAAGGCATTTGGGCAAGTCATGGGTGATTGCCAATTTTGGTATAAAAAATTTTGGATATGCAATAGGAAAATGGGTCTCATAGTGACCCCCGAATAATCAGAATTATGATGTAAGGGGAAAGGATAAGAGGAACTGGTTGAAGTCTTGCAAAATTTTATGTGATTGACTTGTTGTAAACATGTTACAGTTGTTATCCCTACCATGTAGTTATTTTGTTGTATCGCAAATAAATGTAAACCCTAGAGCGACTGTGTGAATATCATGAAGCATATATTATTATTATATTTTCTGATGTGATGTTTATTGTCTCAATTTGGTTTATTGCTGTAACATCCATAAAAATTCATGTATATTTCAAACTTTTTCAAATATTAAAAAACACCATTTAATTACAAAATGTTTTCAAAATAGTTTCATATCAGAGTATCGTAGAAATCAAATCTTAAAATACGAGGAGGTGCATGATCAATTCGCCTTCCCACGGTCATCCGAAGTACCTGAAACAAAATCCAAAACTGTAAGCCCGAAGTTTAGTGATTTCCCCCAAAATACTCATATACACAATAATACACATATAATCACAAACTACATACGATGGTTCCAATCAACCATCGGGTTGGAATACCTCAAGCCCCGAACCTTCAGGTTGGAAGTACAATATACTATGGGTCCAATCAACCATCGGGTTAGAATACCCCAGTCCCCTAACCATCAGGTTGGAATGCCAACATACTATGGGTCCAATCAACCATCAGGTTGGAATACCCCCATTCCTCAACCATCGGGTTGGAATGCTAACATACTCTAGGTCTAATCATCATCGGGATGAAATACCCTCAATTAACAATCAAACATGTGCACATACATTAGGTAATCATATAACAGTCTATAGAGACAACATACTAGGGGTCCGATCATCCTCGGGATGGAATACCCTTAACTGCCAATCAAACATGTGCACATATATTAGGTAAGCACATAGTAGTCTACAGACAACCAAGAATATCTAGCAGATCACTAAGCATAACATCATCCTATCTACCAGGATACTGATTTATCAAATCATAATCGCACACAACCATAAGATAATTAGGATAGCAATCTAATTGGCCGACCATGGTTCCTTCGACCGTTGGGTATAGTGACGAAAACTCACCTCACAAGTAGCACTGGATAGTAGTATCAACCTCCTGAAATACAGCTCCAACCTCAAACACCTACAACAACCATAGAACCAATTCTATCAAGACCCAATTTACCAAAATACCCTTAGAAGTCAAACTTGGACAACTCTTGTCAAACTCAATGGTTAATAGTCCATGTTGACCCAACTCGTCGAGTGCATCTAGCAACTATTCGAGTCCCTCCAGAACTCAGAAAAACCGTGAAAAACTGAGTCAAATCGCCAATTTGCCAATCAACTCGTTGAGTCCATGTAGTGTCCAAAATATCGGGGAAAACCCTAACCACTCATCGAGTCACCTCATTAACTCGTCGAGTTCATGCATAATCCAGAAAACATAAAAATCCGTCTCAACTCATCGAGTTGGGTATCCAACTCGTAGAGTTTCTTCAGCCAAATCGTATTTAGCTCATTTCAGTCGAGTCCAAAACTCCAAACTCCAGATCTAGCTTCCTAGGGTGAATCTACCACATAAAGTTCCCAACTATACATGCATGCAAGGTCTTAAAAGGCTTAAAACACCAAAACCAAGTCTAAGATGAGGTTTAAGGCATGGAAAAGGGCCAAAGCTTGCTAAAGTTGAGAACTTTATGTCTATAGGGCCTAGAGGAGTCCAGATCTGAAACCATGTCCTTGTGACAAGCTCAAAAAACCCGAAAGTGACTCCATTTTGCACTAGGAGTGACCATTTTCTTTCACAAGGGAAGATATAAACAATGAAATGTCAAGGTGGTAGCTCTATACCTCAAGATGATTGCTACAACAATGCAAAGGCGGGATCCATAGACTCTTCCTTCTTCCAAGCTCTTAAATCTTGAAGAAATGCTCCAAAAACACACTCTTTTAACCTCACACACTAAAAATAGAGGGTTTGCATGCTAGGGTTTGTTTCTGGACGATAGGGTGGTAAGGGAGGCTGGGGAGGGGAGTTAAGGTTCTTCAAATAGGGTGTAAACCCTAAAAATTAGGGTTTTTTTTTTTCCATCACCAACTCGTCGAGTGGGGTCCTCTAAATCGTCGAGTTGATCCTAGTATCCACGCGGATATATGAGATCCTACACAATGTGTTGGGGCCATCCAACTTGTCGAGTAGGCTTTCTAAAATGCCTGAAATCCCTAGAATATCATTCTTAGAAATCGAGATGTTACAACTGCATTTGAAAACATTTGAAACCCATTGTAAATAATTGAAAACATGGATGATGAAACGATTATAGTGGAAATTATCAAATAGATCAACACCATGCCGCCATGAAAGAAGAGAGAACAACTGAAAAAGAAACCCTAATATAAAAGGTTGGAACCAACGATTTCATCCATGACATCTTGACATAGGACAAGCTGAACCAGCTTGAGGTCAATGGTAGTTTCAGTTATGGATACACCAACTGTTGGTGCACCACCCCTAAGATGGGACTCCCTCAAATGACCACGAAAGGGGAGCCACTAATCTCAGAGTGCCTTACAATTTCCATGGCAAACTCAATGAGCATGAATGAAGGAACACCAATCATAGAAGTTGAAGGAATCGGGACTAGGCCAGTAAGTAGTTCGAAAATTAACCCTAATGAAACTCGAAGGGTGTACACCTACAAAGACTTCATGAATTGCAAACCTAAGTACTTCTACGGAAATAATGGTGTGATCGGTCTCACCAGGTGGTTTGAAAGGATAGAGTCCGTATTTCAGATTAGTTACTACGCTGAAGACAACAAAGTGCGCTTTACTGCTTGTACTTTCATGGATACAACGCTCTCTTAGAGGAACGGCCAAGTTAAGTCACTAGGCATTATCCCTGCCAACTCTTTGACTTGGGGAGAACTGAAGATCATGATGATAGAAGAGTATTGCTATAGAGATGAAGTTCAGAATCTCGAGAACGAGCTATGGAACCTAAACATAAAAGGTTCAGACATTAAACCCTATATAACCAGGTTTAACGACCTTAGTTTTTTGTGCCCATCACTAGTAACCCCGGAGCATGTGAAGTTGGAACGCTATATACATGGATTATCTCCTACGATCAAGGGTATGATCATGTCTTCAAGACCTACAACCTATGATAACACTAAGAATATGGCCAAATGTTTGAAGAACAATGAGGTC